TCCTTTGTAGAAGGTCTTGTATTGATGTAGCAAATATACATCATATAGATTGCATTATATGGTAGGAGTTACATATACATGTTTGTTTGGTCGGAAGGACCGTTGTCGGCAGGAGACCGGGGTCGGAAAGATCGTTGTCTATTGATGGAGGTCGGACGGACCGTAGTAGGAAACAGAGGTTGTAAGGACCGTAGTCGGCAGGAGAGCTGGGTCAGAAAGACCATTTTCTGGTGATAGAGGTCGGAAGGACCATAGTAGGCGACGGAGGTCAAATGTACCGTAGTCGACAGTATTCTGGGAGAACTATGGGCATCAGGTGGTGGCCTGGAGGAGCTCAAGGCCTCAAGTAATGGTCCGGCGGAAGTATGGGCCTCATGTGATGTTTTGGTGGAGCACACGGCCTTTGATGATGATCTGACGAAGACAAGGGCCTCTAGCAAAGGTGAGGGAATTTAGCGAAGGTGAAGGTCGCTGGTAAAAGTGAGGGCCTCTGGCGAAGGTTAGGGCCTCTGGCGAAGGTGAAGGCCTCTGGCGAAGGCGAGGGCCTCAGATGAAGACGTCAGGCCTGAACGTCGGGCCTTGAGCAGAACGTTGGGCCTTCAGCAGAACGTCGGGCTTGAACATCGGGCCTGAACGTCGGGCCTTGAGATGGTGGTGCGGAGAAACTCCGACGGTGGTCCGGCGAGGCTCTGACGGTGGTCCGCGAGGCTCTGGCGGTGGTCCGGCGAGGCTCCGATGAGGGTGAGGCGGTGGTCGAGGAGGAGCTTCTTCCTTCTCTTCTCCTCTTCTCTTCTTGCTTCCGTCCCCCTTTCAAGAGAAATGAGGGGTCTATTTATAGATTTTTGGAGTGGCATGGCCCGTAAATAGGCATGAGATCAGGGGCGAATTGGGAGTGGTCGAATGGACGGCCGATATTGAATCCTACGATCGTGCACCGTTTATCGGACATTTGAAAGCCTTAATGATGTCGGAATTCTGTGATCTTAGGCTTGTTGGAGTCGTCTCGTCGAGCCGTTCGATTTGAGTATAAGCTCGTTAAAATCGGAGACTGTTTGGTAACTCAAATTGCGGTTTGAACATTCTAACAGCGCTTCGGGTCCATGATTTGGACCCATTTGGGCTCGGATTGGGTTGAATTTGGTGTCGTTGGATTCATATTTCTGAGACGCTCAGTTTGACTATAAGCTTACTGAAATCGGAGTTCACGTGCTCCCGGATTTAATTTTTGAAGTTTTCGGTTTGGGTTTTCCCTCGAGATTCGTGCCTGATCAAGATAATTTCATGATGACGTATCAATCCCAAATTTAATTTCTGAAGTTTTCAATTCAAATTTACCTCGAGATTCATGCTTAATCAAGATAAATTTATGATGATATATCAGTTGTTCCTCTATTTCCCGATGTCGAAGCTCCAGTCCAAAGATATAACTAAATTTTGAATTGACGGAATTTAATGTCTTTTCTTCAGTATGTAATAAATATTATTGTTATATGCTATAAAATGTATCTCAGTAGAATATTTGATATCTTCATTTGGTATAAAGATTTAGTATACACAAATTGAAGTTTTAAGATGTATCAAAGGTTTATATATGCAATTTTAAAAAGGAAAAAATTTAAGTGTCACAGAGGAAAGATCAATAGCGGCCTTCTTATAATAGTCCATAATATAATTATAAATATAAAAATTCACTCTTTTCCACAATTGAAGAATATGAGATTATGGCATTAAAAATACATATTTGATTCACATTATAGGGATTATAGAGTTCGGGTGTTTGCAAGCAAATAATTGAAAATTATTAATGATAGTCAAATGACAAAAGTTAGATCAGAAAAGTCAAGGGATAATATTGGTGATTGCTGATGGTGATTGTCGATGACGTTTACGAGGAAACCAAATAGATTTCCTAAAGTTTTTTTTTTTCTTCGGAACCTCTTCACATTGAGACTAAGGCCCATCTTTATGATTATTTAGAAAATCAATATAGTAAATTCAACCATAATCCAAAACACTCTATTGAATGATCCACATTAATTTCTTTGATTATTTATCCAATAACTAAGTGGCTTAACTAATTTAAAATAGAATGATAATAATCTTATTATATTCTTCGCGCGAAGCCATTCTATTCAATTAAAAAATTGCAATATTCCAAAATGTTGTTTCTTTAATTGAAGTCCTATAATTTTTTATGATGTTTCAAATGTTTGATTTGAATTTATTTATCGTACAATCAGATCACTTATGATGTTGATAAGTTCATCTCATTGAAATGCTTAATAAATTTATAAAAATTATAATAATAATTATTTCGAAATTAATTAAAAAAATTAATTAAAATATTACATTAAGATTTATGATGCGATAGATATTTGAAGTATAATCATTTAAAAATAAACCTAATAATTTTGACGCATTTTATGACGAAAAAATCGAATTTGTTGTCGACGAACTAAATTCGATTTAATTTCATTCGTTTTTCCCGTGGATGGACGGGAAATAATGAGGGCGTGGTATGCGGGGCCACCGGCACGTGGCACTGACCCACCGTCCACCGGCCACGGCCGCCAGCCCCTGGACTTTTTTCCCGTCGTCGCCTACAGTCTGTCCTGCCGAAAGCGAAGGCCCAAAGGCCGGCGCTGCCTTTGAAATTAAAACCACTCTGTCGTCGCGTTTACCGCATCCGGATAGAGACACTATCATTAACAATTACGATTAGTCTAATCAACTAAGATTAAGAGGTTATTTAAGATATCAATTCGGTGTACCTAATTAATGTCTTTTCTTAATGACATATTCTTTCGCATATATCTCCTTAGACAAATATCAATTCAGATCTACAAGATATTTTTGTACGAAGCTATTCATTGCTGCTGATAAGATACCTTATGTTAGGTTGGGTCGATTACCTCGTATGACTAAGTGGACAGGAAACATAACAGCTCGGGATGATGGAACCATGAGATCTTGATTGCAGGGGCGAATCCTAATTTTTTCTCCTCAATCTATTCTTTAGTCTTTATTATAAGATTTTTTTTAGTCAATTGTGCCCTAAAATTTTTAAAATATTATGATCATTAGGTAAGGGGCACAGCTCCCTTGGAACACCAAATATCTAGAAGTCTATAACGATCAAATATATGAACAAATATGAGTCGAGGGGCATCGCCCCAGTAACAAATTTTGATTGTAAATATATTTATGAAAAATAAAATTCTATACTTTTACTTTATAAATTTGTCCCATCTGAAAATTAAGGCCGGTTCCGCCCTAATCTTCATGACTTCATTAGTAGATGAAAAAGAAAAAAAAATTCTTTCGCATACCGCATGGTTTTGGCCATATTAATGTCGTAATTAGGAATGATAGTTTAATGAAACATGACGAGGGATTTGGAGATAATAATGATTAGTAAATGGTAATTATCTTAATTAAGGTAGCTATGATTGCAGCGTGTTGAGTTGGCCGGAGAGTTTGGAGTGCAAGCAAAGGTAGAGGCTGACGTGATGGTCACAAGTTGCCGGTTTGATAATCATAGTTTTAAAAATATCAAGTTCTTTTTTTTTATCATCTATTTAAAAAATAAGTCAACTCCGTTTTACATTTAAAAATCAGTACAAAAAACAAACGTTACATAAACATATCAATAAATGCAATAAATTAAGTTCAAATTTCATATATATTATAAAACACATATTTAATTTAGGGATGAAATAAAACAAATTTGGATAAATATATTTATTAAAAATATGCAAAATGATTAAAATAGTTAAAAAAGTTTAAGATTGGTAATTACACATTTAAGCTCTTTAAACTCAGCCCCTAATTACAAAGTAATAGAATTATATTTTTTAAATAAATATTTAAAAATTTGTATCAAAATATTCTAACTAAGCTTTCATTTCAAACAAATTTCTTATAACTTTATTTTCAGATTATAATAAAAAATTTGATTTGGTAATTAATTTTTTACTAGTTTTATTATTTTTTTTGCTAAAAAAACTATTTTTCACAATTTCTTAGCATAAAAATATGTGATTAATTTGAAAGAACTTTTTATTATTTTATTTTTAAAATTATAATCATCGTTTAAAAAATTATTTTATAATGATTTTATAATCTCTTTATAAATATTACGATTTTTTGCTTTAAAGATTCACTCGTTAAAGTTTTAAATTTTTTTTTTTATTATCTAAAATTTATGATTTCGTAGCAAAACTTGACACAGTTACTAATTAATCATGTGCATTGAAAATTATTTTTTTATTATTTATATATATAGTAGAATAAATGCACGATGGGACACCTGGCAGTTGTAAATCGAATCCCAACGTCCACGTGTAAGGAGGAGGAAGTGTCATTTTGATGGAAGGAGTAGTGAGAGGTGGGACCCAAAGAGGACCGCACTCACACTACAGGTCATTTCAAGGAACTTTTATTTGGTCCGGTGAACGTACTCAACTCTATGTTCGGCCGCCAGTAGAATGACGCCGCGCGTTTTCATTATTTACCGCGCGCCCCGACAACCCGATCCGGAACGGACCCAAGATTGCTCGGTATTGCTAGGAATTGGTCGATTTTGCTCGGCAATAATCAATACCGAGCAAATACATAGTTGTATCAAGTTTTTTCTAACAATATCAAACAAATACCTAGCAATACCGAGCAAATCCCTAGCAATACCGAGCAAATCCCGAGCAAATACCGAGTTGTACCGAGTTGTAGAAAAACTCGGTACAACTCGGTATTTGCTTGGTATTGGCCTTCACAGAGCGATATTTCTCGTTTTTGCAAAGCAATACCGAGCAAATACCGAGCAATACCGAGAAAATCACGAACATAGCATTCCCGGGCTCTGGTACGAGTCAAGTCATCGGGCCGCGCGGTAAAGAGTAAGAGCACGTGGCGACATGTTATTGGCGGCCGAACGTAGCTCTACGTCCGGTCAGAGGACGTAATAATTGTTCCATTTCAAGGGGGATAATATTCTGGTTTTCATGGTCATTAAATTGTTTTAAGATAATATAAATGATAATTAGTCCATTAATTACGTTTTAATATATCTTATTTGTTAATTAAAACTTTTAGGGTTTAATTTTCCACTGGTTCGGGGAGCAAAGTAAATTTTTGCTGCTCGGAAAACGATCCCCGCGTCCCTTCACGATAACTTTTGAGACTATATAAGCCAATGGATCTTCAGACGCTCTCAACGTTCGTTCTCGTCTTCTTTCGCCTTTATCCGTGGGCATTCTGCCCTTTCTTCCCCGTTCCTCGTAAAACTGGCTTCTTTGCAGAAACAAGCAGTAGCTTCTTCCTCTTCTGTTTTTAGTGCAAGAAGCTCTAATTTGGTGATTGCTTATAAGAAATCAGAAATCAAAATTTGGGCCTTTTTTTTCCTGTCCAAAATTTATTTGTTTGTTGATAAGAAATAGAGCAGAGCGGACTTGAGATTTATGGAAGGGGGCAGAAAGGGCGGCAGGGGGTTTCAAAGAGGTGATGTAGGAGAGGAGGTTAGAAGGCAGAAGGCGAAGGGGACGCAGATTGAGATAGCAGCTGGTAGAACGGAGGAGAGGCAGAAACCGGCGGAGACGCCGATGGCGGCATTCCGTTCGCTGAAGAAAATAAGAAGCCCAGACCGACACTCATCGAATCAAGCATCTACTTCCCCGACTCTAGCTACGGCGTCTTCTTCCATCGCTTCGCGCCCAATCTTCCCTTTTGCTTACGATTCAGAATCAGCTGCTATTTCTCTTTTCCATTCAAATCAGCAGCAGCAGAAAATGATCACTTTTGATCAAAACCAGTCATTTTCAATCGGTTCTGGCTCTTACTCAGCTCCTCCGCTTTCTCCCCTGCTTCCAAGAGAAGCCTTACAGCAGAGGTACTCTGAGCAGATGCTCAAATACTGGAGTGAGGCGCTGAATCTCAGCCCACGAGGACATATGATGATGATGAGCCGCTTGGTCGCCCAGGAAAATAGAGGCCGGTCGCCGGCGTCACTTTTCCGGATCCCCGGAGCGGTACCAACGCCGACGAAGCTCTACAGAGGAGTGAGGCAACGCCACTGGGGAAAATGGGTTGCCGAAATTCGCTTGCCGAGAAACCGCACTCGGCTTTGGCTCGGCACTTTCGACACTGCCGAGGACGCCGCACTCGCATACGACCGCGAGGCCTTCAAGCTTCGTGGCAAGAACGCTCGCCTTAATTTCCCCAGCCTCTTCCTCGGCGCCGCCGAAGGAAGCAATAGCAATAATGCGGATTCCTCCTCTGACATGACTCGAACGGAGGTTTCAAAAGACAGCGGAAGCCCTCCGCCGGAGAATAGCAAAGCTCAGGCGGAAGCGAAGCCTGCAGGGCAGAGCTCGGAGGGAACAGAGTTGGTGTGGAGTGAAGCGGAGGAGGCCTGGTTCAGCGCGTGGGGGCCGGGGAGCTCGGTCTGGGATGATGTTGATGGAGCTAGAGGCAACTTGCTTTTCCAATCTGGTCTCGCGTCTATCTCAGAGTCGCAATCTGATTGCATTCAGGCTCCTGCTTTTGCGGGAGTTGGCATGGAAACCTCTTCTTCTTCTTCTTCTTCCCCTGCTTTCTCTCCTTCCATGTTCATATGGAAGGACCCGTAATTCTGTTCGATTTTTTTCGAGCAGATGAACAAGATTAAATCTTTCAGACGCTGACGAATAAAACAACTCAAAACTCAATCGAAAGTGACCGAATTTATTTGATCGGCTCACTTTCAATTCCAGTTTTGATCTCAAAGTCATCTCCTCTCTCTCTCTCTCTCTCTCTCTCTCTCTCTCTCTCTTTCTCCTCTCTGCATAAATTTCATGGGTTGCAGAATTTTACATGTCAACCAGTGAAGAATCCACTCTCTGTCGCCCCATCTCTCTCTGAAACTTGGCATCAAACCATGGCTGCATAAATTTTAGCTTGCAGCCTTTCTTCTCCACCCTTCCATTAAAACAAAACCAAATCAATCAAAACATCTTTCTTGTTAGAATTCATCTGCATACAGTTCCATAATATCCGTCCAGCCCTGTTCATGAAATCCTAATCAACTACTGGTCTACCTTATCTCTTAACTTTGTACCCTTCTGGTTATGATTTGATTTTAAAAATGGATTTAGTGGATTGAAGATGAAGGTTTGATGTATGTTTAAGATATTTATATTTTGAGACAGCGGGTAACGATATGTAGAAAGCAGATGAGGAGGGAGACAGTTTTATTTTCTCCTCCTCTCTTTCTGTGTTGGATTTTTTTTTGTTCTTATGTTATGTTGATGTAGCAAAAGTTACTGTTTGTTGCTGTTGTTGGTTTATGAATAGAATATGTTGATGGATGTGTTCCTTTCAAAGACTCTTTAATTCAGCTATAAAGTATTTAGAAAAGTTTTTTAGCTTTTTGTTAGTATGGGAAGAATTTCTGTGAGATATTGATGGTAAAGTAGATTTTCACTTATCTCTACATATTTATATTATAATCATTTTTTTGTTCAATTTGGTGGTAATCATTATCACTTATGTTAGCTATTTGATTGTAATAAATAGCTTTTTATCAAATAAATTTTTAAAAAATAATAAGAAATCAATAGATAAACAATAGTAAAATAAAATTATGAATGTTGTCCAAAAAGCAAAGCATTTCAAAAAGACGAATCCAGCAATACAAAATGTGGTATAATCATGAGTCTAAATGAGCCTAGATGGAGCACATAATGCACAATAGGAAACTTTGAAAGACTAATTAAAGGACAAAACAATCTCCACATCTTTCGTGCTTAAAGCCAAATTAAATGTCATTCAACCACAATCACATGACTGCAGTCCTATAGCTACTATCGCTCACTCAACCGTGTTCCTTTGACAATCGTCACTTGACTAAAGTCTTCCGACCATCATCGCCCTCCAACGATCCTCTGTCTATCGTCACCTAACTAAGATTCTCTAGCCTTGTTTCTCGATGACAGCTCTTTAACCACTATCACACTACTATAATCCTCTGACCACTATCATATTCGATTACAGTCTTATTATCATTATCATTCAACTATGATTCTCCCAACACTGTCACTCGACTATTGTACTTCGACACCGTTGCATGACTATGATCTTCAGGCAACTGTCACTTATTTACGATCCTCTATTGAATTAAGATGTTCTTCTAGTACTTAGATTATATGCATGATCATTAAGCTAGGTATCACATCCAACATGAAAGTGAATATAAAAGATTAAGAGCCATCCTCAGTATACAAGCGTATTATATTGATTTAAATTATTTACATCACTTATTGCCATTAACGTTATCATATTTATAGTGCTAATCTTTACAATATTCCTACCAAGGGTCCAAATAGAACTCCTTGCAAGCTTCTTCTTCTGGTATTCTTACGCTTTCTTTGCTACAGCTTTATATGGCCTTTACCTTGCCAAATTTGTACAAATCTCCTCTAAAATCTATTCCCTATCTTCTTATCTTAGACCTATCTAAAGAGATTATTACGTGCGGAGTTCGAACGGAAGAACTGTCTGAATTATGTGAGGGTACATAGTATTTACTTTGTACCATCAGAGAATCCAGACGGTTCTCCCATCCGATCTCAACACGTAATAATCTCTCATATCTAAGACACTATATATCCAACCTCCCCAAATGCCACTTATCAAGACTCAAATAAAGAAATCCTACAATAATAGTGATGCTAAATACCATCAATTAGTGATAATTAAGCACCATTATATTCATAATATAACATAGCAAAATAGTACATCATGCTAAAGTCATTTGTCCTAACCTTCTTGGAGTTATAAATAAGATCCTTCCAAAAAGTTAATTGTATGTACAATATAACATGAGAGTTCAATCATATATAAGATCTACTAGTCCTATGTACAATCTACAATCACTTGAGTGATTGATATAGGAGTTGCACAATATAGAAATGTTCTAAATAATTCATATTATCAATGAGACTTATGAATTGTTTTTTCATCAAAATGAACTTATAATACATGAAAATTATATTATACTAGAATTTTTAAATCTTTGATTATTTAAATAAACATAAACATACTATAGTAAGGCAAGTGGGTTGAATTTAAACAAGATTTGCAGCATTATCAGAAGTTATAAACATCAATATTTGTTAGGATTTCCTTAGGATGTGTGCTTCTTCTTCGAATCTTGAGGGAGAGAGGGCGAGAGGGAGGGAGAGATAACAGAATTCTTGTTGATTTTTTTGACTATGAGTGATCATCTATTACAGCCTCTTCAATTATTTATCACCAAACTAAACTACTAAGAAAAAAAATAAAATGAACCTAAGAAACAACACAACCTAAAACTATATCAAATCACAACAATACTCTAACATGGCATCTCCATTTGAAATCATTTGAAATTAGAAAATGAGCTCGACTCATGAGTAATTTATTGAGCTGAGCTCAAGCTGGCTCATGAACAATTTATCAAGCTAAGCTTAAGGTGGGTCACAAATCTGCTTGACATACACCCCTAACATTTGTACTTGAAAAGTTATTCGTTACATTTTAAGCCAGCTCTCCCTGAATTAGTCATTTGTTGAACCAAAATCATTTAAAGGCTTATTTGATTACTTTAAGTTAGAAAATATGCTTTGAAACGAGAAGTCATCTACTAGTACCAGCACTTGGTTAGATGTTGTCAGAAATCAATATATAATTCAGGCTTCGTTTGGGACGGCTTTTTATTGCTTTCTAAAACGGAGTTTTAGTACAAAATTTTTAATTTTGTACTAAAACTCCGTTTTAGAAATAAATAAAAAAGCCGTCCAAAACAAAACCTTAAACTCTAAAACACCGTCGAAATCCGCCTCAAGATTTTAATTTGACACTTATATTGATTATTTGGTTGAAATACAAAGTGGTATAAAGTATTTAAGATATAAGGGTTTTAAAATTTTGTGTGTTTGAAATATAAAATGGATCAAAACAAAGTAAAGTAAATGTAATATAAACTATTTTAGTTCATTTTTGAAGTAAATCAAACATGCTTAATTTTGAGCATGAACCAATTATGTCAAAAGTAAGTTCACTTGATCGCCGCAGCCCGCCACCATCCGTACCGCCAGCCACCACCACTGCCAGCAAGTGAGGAGTCTCAAGTCTACTTATGGTGATATGATGTTGACTCCAGCCTATGTAGAAGCAGAAGCAGAGGTTTTTTCGTAGTTGCACGAGCTTATAAATCTTTTCACTGACTGAATGTCACTATGGTAGTTCCTTGGCCAAGCACCGGCTTCAGTTCTGGAGACCTGTCTGCTTCTGATGGCAGCCAAAGAAACGACCATAATAGAAAGGAGTTGCCATCAGAAACTGGTGGCCAAGATGATCCACATGCCCTTGGAAATGGCAAATTATTACGTGCGGTGTCCGAACCGTTTGGAGGTGAATACGGACGTGCCACGTCACCCGGATGCATTAGGATCGGGGTGACGTGGCGTGTCCGAATTCGCCTCCGAACGAATCCGGACGCCGCACATAATAATTTTCCCTGGGAAACAGAAGCACTGGCCATATTTGACAGCAGGGTTTCAATTACTTGGCCTGAAGAGAAGCAGATTTCAACATCTGGAAACCATAATTGTCACGGCAGCGGTGATTGCTACAATGGTAGCTCCATGATGTAAAGCAGGAATGGTCATTGCAGCTTCGATACGTGGAGGTGACATCCCAACTTACAGCTTTGATTTTGTGATCAGGAATTTCGGTGACATAGTGCTTATAATGTTATAGTGTTTCTTTTTATTTATTTATTTCTCTTTGGCAAAGTTGGAACCAGAAAAAGGTTCTTAAAATAAGATTGTAAAATATATAATTTTATGTATTAATTAGAAAATAAATTATTAGCCACGTTAGTGATACCCAGCAATATCGAGCCACAATACTGAGCAAAGGAGTGATGTGGGACATTCTGATTGGTCTCCAAATGATGTTTGGAGATCAAACAGAATATTTTGTCTGATTTTATTTTAGGGTATAGAGATTTTTAGAAGGCTTTGAATTATATGTAATGGTTGTTTATTATACATTTTCATGCAATGGATGTTTTTCTTAGCGAAATTATGATGGTAAGGGCTTTAAAGTAGTTTAATTTATTTCATAGAGGCCTAAGTAGTTATAAGCTAATTAAGATAATCAAATTAGGTCATAATGGATTTTATCAAGTCTGTTTTCAAGCCTTATAGGCTTTCTTAAATTATTCCTAAATGTAACTTTTTTTTTATTGAAATTATGATATTATATTTTTGTATTTACTAGAATAAATAAATTATTAGAATACATTTTTTAAGTTTAAGATAAAATAAATGTTAGGTAAATTTTTGATGTATTTGAAATGGATCCTTTAATATAAATTTAGAGATTGTTTGATTGGTTGAAAAAGGAATGCAGTTTAAATAAAATGAAACGTAAAAGTAATGCAATGTATTTTAAATACTTTGGAGTTGTTTGAATGAGTGTAAAATAAAAGCGGAGAATTATTATTATTATTATTATTATTATTATTTTGACTTGAAGTAAAATGAATGCAGTAAAGTATGAGCAGTGGCTGAGGGTAGTGGTGGCGGGCGGCGATGGTGGACAATGATAAACAATAAAGTTCCAGTGTATTTGAAACAGAAGGGGTTATTTTGTTGCCTGTAAAATGTGTGTAAAATATTTCAAACACAAATTTTTTGAGAATATTAATATTTGGTTTGAAGTAAAAAAATTCTTTTAATTTTTTTGTGCAATTGAAATTCACCATCTAGTTCTTCTTTTTTTTTTTTCGTATTTTAAATTCATTATATTTGGTCCACTACTTCTGCTAGCCGCTGCCAAGTATAGCCACTGTTGCCATCACCACCATCATCAACCACTAACCCCATCACCTGCCACCGTCAACCACCAGCGCCACCCACAAATTTCGACCACCTACCATCACCATATTTACAATTTACATTGCATTCATTTTATTTCAAACCAAATATAAAAAATAATCTCATGTATTTCTTTTACACTATCCAAATAACTCAAAAATTTTTTGTTTACACGGCATTCATTTTAAAATTCATTTATTTTTAGCCAATCAAACAACCACTTAGTATATTTGAAATTCATCCAATTTAGATGAATTTCAAACGCGACATTGTCACCATTGGGACCAACATCCATAATAACTTTTAAAATATCTATTTTGTAAGTAACAATGCTTTACAAACTTTTTACTAAAAAACATTCCCATTGTCAACATTCGGAACCGTCATTCATAATAACTTTTGAAATATCTATTTTTTACACAGCTCATCTTGGCCTGTTGGTTGAGAACTTAGGCTATCAACTTAGAGGTCTTGAGTTCGAGTTTTTGTGTATGCGTTGTGTGTGTATGAATTTGCCTAAAATGACCTAAATGTTAAAAAAAATCTATTTCTTAGTAAAAATATTTTACAAACATTTTTCTAATAACTACACATAAAATGAATAATTTTTTCAACATATTACTATATGAGTTCTTCCTCTTTGATTAATATTGCACCATGCCTATTTTTAAATTTTAGTTTTTTTTTTAATAATTTGTTTAATGTTCACCTTAATTTTGGTTCATAACTTGTGTAAAAAAGCGCCACTGCTTGTTTTGGAATAATTTTTTTTAACTAATAATCAAAATGATAAAAAATATAATATATTTTTATCATTTATTTACTAAAGAATGATATCATTTTTTTTTACATGCAATTGATGTATATACATTTTATATAAAATTTGTCGTTAAAAAAAAAAAAAAAGCGGCATTCCTGCGGAGCTGACCCTTCAACATTGAAGCCGGCCTTCTGTTTCCACTTTCTGCTCTTTCTTGCCCTAGTTTATCGTACGAAATCTGAACCTACGGGCCAAGAACCCGCCGATATACCAGCCGGAGCTTCTTCTGCGCCTCACTCATCGAACCAACAGCGGCAAAGCCGACGAATTCTACAACCTCCACGGCATCGCCTTGTCCGTCGCCGTTGCATCCTACTCCAAGGACTCCTGGCGCCGATCACGCGATCTCCCATTATCTGCTCGCGAGCCTCAAGGCCTTTCCGCCCTGCTTCTATTCTGTTGTGATGAGGAAGTGGAGAGGACTGAATAGAAGGGGCAGAGAGTTTGTCGGAGAAGCAGCGTTCAGCCAAAGAGATTGAATATGCGGTCATAGTATTGGGGAGTTGGATGCTTTTGGGGGGCACAGGAGGCAGGGAGATGATGGAGCTGGTTGACGAGGTGAATTTCGCGCTCTATGGGTTTCGTCCTTGGCGACCGGTTCGGATTCGGCGGACCAGCTTGCTCTCGTTGCTAAACATACGCAGCACGGAGGAGGGTCGCCGGCTAATTAGGGAACGGGGGTAGGTATATGTGATTTATTCACAATTCTGCTGAAAGCTTTTTTTCTAACGAAGGAACTATGAAATTCTAACTGCTATAATTTGTTATGAATCCAAAGGCGTTGATTTGAATTCTTCAGCCTTTTTTCATTCCATTTCACTTAAATGCCACTCACTCATAAACAATTTGCTCAGGTGAGTTATACTACTCGATGAAAAAATGAACGAATTGTAATTCGCCAGGGAGTTTGATTAAGATGGGAAATATTCTAATCTGTGCTAATAATAAGTATGAATGAGCACAGTCACAACACAATACAGAGAACTCAAAGAATTAGGTGGTTCAATTTTGTGGCATACATCAACTATGCAAGGATCGAGGGAGTTTTCTTATGACTCTCCCAGTTGAATATAATAGCTTTGTAAAATTATTTGACTAATGTTTTGAATAAACTAAATTAATTGTGTGATGACATTAACATGCTGAAAGCACAAGTTGACATACTGGAAACCAATAAAGTCCATGCATTTAAACTTGAAATTGATTCCAATTGGAGTGAAGAACCTATTATTTGAATATTAATTCTGTTAAGATACGGGAATCATCTTGATAGACAATGTAGTGTCTTTAACCATAATGTTATTGAAAATCATCAGTCAAATTTCTGACATGGACAGTGACATACTTGATTCATTGATCTTAAATGTTTTTAATATGAAAACCACAGCTACTCCATCATCCTTCCACCCATTTCCATACCAAATCCTCTAGCAGCAATCATCATATGAATTTTTTCCTTAGTATTAAAAGTCATATATATGACACCATGCAACATTTGTCTTTACATAAAATTATATATATAATACATTATTTTAGTAAAAAGTTTCAAACAGCAAAAAAAAATTTGTAACTGTCATAAAGTCTAATCAGATGAGGTCTTAATATTATGATATGCTTCGAGTTTGTGAATTAACAGTTCTGCCTCTTGCAAAAAACAATTACCACATCTGCCGCAGCGACACTTTAACTATTTTTTATGACTTTTATAGTGGTTTTTCATGTCGTCAATATCTTTAAGCCTATTTGCTCTTTTGAAATCTTCGTGACACACGAGACAGAGTATACTATAAGAGGATTTTAGTGGTCTCTGATGATGCAGACATATCTAATGGGATTAAAAAAAAAGTTAGCAATTCATTAACTAAATTAAGATATGCAAATTCATTATTTCACTAACCTTAACAAAAACTTGTCACATTGTTCCAAATTTATTTGGACCTGTTATTTTTAAGTTGCATCGGTTCTATTTATAGTATTAAAAAAACTGAGCTTACGCGAACAAAAAGTTGCACGTGGCGCCGAGACTGAGTTGTGCGGGATTTTACGGAGGAACGAGCCGTGTGGTGTTGGCGTCGAGAGAACTGCACCAAAACTTTCAACGTTCTGCATGGATTTTGGCCAGGAAGGATGCGGGTAGGGTTCGCGTGGTTGACCGTACACAAAATTTGGCTCTCCCAATTCCTTCAGCAACCCTTACATCTTCGTCCGCCTTAAAAATTTGGTTTATAGCGCGGAGTAAGCAGGGCTCGTTTCTTATCTACTCGACGGCCCTGCTTACTCCACGCTATAAACCAAATTTTTAAGACGAACGAAGAGGTAAGGGTTGCTGAAGGAATTGGGGGAGCCAAATTTTGTGTACAGTCGACCACGCGAATCCTACCAGTATCCTTCCTGGCCGAAATCCATGCAAAACGCTGAAAGTTTTGGCGCAGTTCTCTCGGCGCCAACACCACACGGCTCGTTCCTCCGTAAAATCCTACATAGCTCAGTCTCGGCGCCACGTGCAACTTTTTGTTCGCGTAAGCTCATAGTTTTTTTAATACTATAAATAGAACCGAGGCAACTTAGAAATAACACGTCCAAAGAAATTTGGAGCAAGGTGACAAGTTTTTGTTAATGTTAGTGAAATGATGAGTTTGCATATCTTAATTTAGTTAATGAATTGATATATTTTTTTTAAATTCCATTAGATATGTCTGCATCATCAGAGGCCACTAAAATCTCTCTTATAGAGCCAAAAGGTATACTCTGTCTCGTGTGCCATGAAGATTTTAAAAGAGCAAAGAGGCTTAAAGATGTTGACGACATGAAAAATCACTATAAAAGGCATAAAAAGCAGTTAAAGTACCGCTGCGGCAGATGTGATAACTGTTTTTTGCAAGAGGCGGAACTGTTAATTCACAAACTCGAAGCAGATCATAACATTAAGGCCTCGTCTGATTAGACTTTATGACAGTTACAAATTTTTTTCTTTACTGGTTGAAATTTTTTACCAAAATAATGTATTATATATATGACTTTATGTAAAGATAAATGTTGCATGGTGTCATATATATGACTTTTAATACTAAGAAAAAATTCATATGATGATTGCTGCTAGAGGATTTGGTATGTGAATGGGTGGAAGGATGATGGAGTAGCTGTGGTTTTCATATTTAATTGATCTTCTATTTACTCTAGTTCAGCGAATGTTTTGATAGAATCATTAGGCAGTTCTGTATACAATTCAAAAGCGGTTGAAGTTAAATTGCTAATAAACTGACGAAAGAGCAAAGCATCTACACCTCCAGTGTTCCCACAAGTTGCTTTAAATTGAGCTAAGTGTTGTTTTTGATTTCCAGTACCATTGAAAGTATTAAATTTTGACACTAAATACCCCTTAGGATATGACACATGATCATAATCAGCAGGATATGGACGCCCTTTACATACAAACTCTTCTGCTTGCTTAGATGCAATAACAACCTTGATTTTCTCACTAATGAGACTTTCAAGTTTATCAACTATCACTGGTTCAGATGAACTTGGAGCAGATTGAGGAGTGGATTGGAGAGGAGCTGAATTGATTTTAGATCTTTCTTTAGGAACTTGTACTCCAGATGCTTGTGGCATTATGCTAACTGGAGGATTTACTGGCGCACCACTAGACGCTTGTTGATTGGAAGGTTGAACTAGTACAAGATTTACAACAACATCTTTCTGCATCAGTTGTATCATCATATTCATTTGTGTCATCATTTCACTCATCTTGACATTAAGTTGGGAGATTTCTTTATCTTTTCTTCTCATTTCTCGTTGCATTTCTCTGTGTTCGAGTTAGTACAACAGCATCAATTAACACTAGTTCTTATTCCTCATCTTCTTCTTCTCCTTCTCCTTCTCCTTCTCGTTCACTTTCTAAGATAGGAAATAACCTTTCTTCATCTTCTCCTTGTTGTTGCAAGAGATCAAGAGGAATGGTAGTTGAAGTTCCTTATTGATAACCTTGTGAACTTGAATGTCCACTGTATGTCCTATCATATAAGTAACTTCAATACCCATTGTTTCTTCTTCTTCATTATTTTCTTTTACATGAATTTCTGAACAACGCCTCCAATGAACGCCTGGTTCTACATCGGACATCAACAAACTCTCAAATAGAGGATTAGAATTAAGCACCTTATCCTCTTCAGAAGCTATGGCTGAATGATGATGGGATCCTTTGAAAGATTCCCCAAAGTGTCGACCATCATGAGTATTATCATCGAAGATATACTTTGGAATCCATTCTTGTTGGATTTTTCTATTAGCGGATCTTTGAAAATATACTCAAGATGTCACGCCTTTAAACTTTTCTTCATGAGGCTTTGGCCTCCATATTTGTTTTCCTTTCCGTCGGGCCCTTTCGGCGGCGGATTCTACATGAGGTTCAAGTGTCATGCCCTGATGTGCTTTCCACGGAGCTCGCTTCCTTTCTTCTGTCCTTTCTGCTATCATGGCATATGATAACCTTTCCCTCTGAGGGGTCCTCTTGGCTTCAATGACTAGTGGCCTTTCAAACTTCTTCTTCATTAATCCCTTCTCCTTAACTGTCTTCAAAACTCGGTGGACTCGAGCAGATAGACGTTCAGGCTCCCTCGTCTTCTGAGGGGTCGGGGCTCCAAGTCGATGCTCCCAAAAGGACTGCTTAAGCTCGCCAATGGAGCTATTTCTTCTTACCCACTTTAAATTAGCAAACATGTTATGAGTAGGAATATCATTCTCTAGCTCCTGAGCTGACATGTTAGAAGGATGGATCGGTACTGGCAATTGTTGAGCGCGTAACTCAGCATTTCTCTTCCTTCTTTGTCTTCTCGTAAGCCCTCCTCCAGATGAGGAGGCTTCAGCATTATATTTTTCGGATGCAGGTAACCTGGTTGATAGAGAAGTGAAACCCTTCCACCAGTCACAATTCTTTTGGTGGTTGGAGCTGCCAGTTATGATAATCGTTCGAACACAGAAATCCTCTGATGAGGGTTCTCAGTAGCAATAGTTCGTGTAGAAGTCCCGATAGAATGGGGCCTCCCAGCAGACTCTTCAGAGTTCATGCCGTTCACAGGAATGGTGGCAGCCATTGCAGTAGCTATAGGAAACTGTAGCCCACCAAATTGGATGGTGGCCCCAGTATTTCCAGTATTTATTATAGCATTGGCTAGGCGGATGTTTGCTCCACGCCCAAGCTTCACAGTAAAAGGAGTATTTTGAAGATCCATTCTGCACAAATGAAAGATGGGGATCAGTAATCAAAATTTGATAAATTACCCATGCTTTCAAAATGCAGAAACACAATAAAATAAAATAACATAAATAGAGAAGTATGATCTTTCTAGAATTATAGATTATACATTATGATGCTTAATTTACTACTATAGCTTATATGTTACTAGCCAAAGATGGAAAGAGAAACCTATCCCCAGCAGAGTCATCAGAAATCTGTGGGCTCCGAAAATTAGCGCCCCAGCCTCCCCTGAATAGGAGAGTTTTAACGATGTTTCGGGTCAAATTTTCAGAAGGCAGATTAACTTTGGGATAAAGCATTACCCAGAGATTTCACCCTCATTTTGTGAGGAGTTTATAATCTGGTTCTAGGTTTCCCATAAGTGCAAGCACCTATGGCTAATTACCCCTCTCGATCATGAGAGAGCACTTTCGATTAAGGCTA